AATCACTGAAGACACAGCTGAACGTTCGAGGCAAGAAAACTACGATCCTACTCAGAACTATGGGCCAGGAGAAGCCAGCCCAAAGTTGTATCTTGTCGGACCTGGAAGTGTGTGGACTTGAAGAAAGGAAGTACATTGAACTCCCTAAGGTTTTTACATGTAAAGATATACCGGTCAAGAAAGAAAACATCCCCCTGCAGGAAGACCTAAAGAAGTGGCCATATCTGAAAGAGGTGAAAATCCCGAAGATAATAGGAGAAGTCACCATGCTTATAGGAACCAACACCCCTAAAGCTTTGGAGCCATGGCAGGTGATAAACAGCATCGGAGACGGGCCCTATGCAGTTAAGACTGCCCTTGGATGGGTAGTGAATGGGCCGAAGAAGACAGATGATGGCAGCAAGGCAGCGGATGGAGTTGTGAGCCACATTACAGCCAACCACATCTCCATAGCTAACATAGAGGAACTGTTGATCAAGCAATATAACACAGACTTCTCAGAACTCAGCTGTGAAGACAAAGAAGAGATGTCCCAGGAGGATCATCAGTTTATGCGGTCAGTGGTAAAATCTGCAGAGTTAAGGGATGGGCACTACTGCATTGGCTTACCACTGCAAAACGAGACAGCCAAAATGCCAAACAACCGCTGCATGGCAGAGACCCGGACCTGTACAAAGATTACAAGGACTTCATGACGGGTATAATTGCAAAAGGCTACGCTGTCAAAATCCCCATAGAACAGTTAAGCCGAGAAGATGGACGCGTGTGGTACATACCTCATCACGGTCTCTACCACCCAAAGAAAAACAAGATAAGAGTAGTGTTCGACTGCACCTCCACATATCAAGGAACCTCACTTAACGATCAGCTGCTATAAGGACCTGACCTCACAAACTCCCTTGTTGGTGTCCTTTTGAGGTTCAGAGAAGAGCCTATTGCTTTGATGGCCGACATTGAGGCGATGTTCTACCAGGTCAAAGTCCCTGACCAAGATGCTGATCTTCTGCGTTTCCTATGGTGGCAGGATGGTGATCTGAACAAACCGATGGAAGACTACCGAATGACAGTGCATCTGTTCGGCGCTACCTCGTCTCCCAGCTGTGCATCATATGCACTAAGAAGAACAGCACAGGATGGAGGAAGCAAAACAACACCCGAGGTGGTGGAAACGGTTCTCAGACACTTTTATGTGGATGACTGTTTAAAGTCTGTGGATTCAGAAGATCATGCTGTTGCTTTGGCCAGGGACCTCAGACATCTGTGCGCCAGTGGAGGTTTCAGGCTTACAAAGTGGGTCAGCAACAGTAGGGCCGTCTTGTCGTCCATCCCTAAAGAAGACAGAACAACGGAAGTCAAAGATCTTGACCTGAACCATAAGCAGCTTCCTATGGAAAGAGCCCTTGGTACTCAGTGGTGCACTGAATCAGACACCTTCAGGTTCAAGGTGCAACCACAGGACAAACTAGCTACAAGACGAGGAATCCTGTCCATCGTTAGCTCCATCTACGACCCCCTCGGGTTCCTGGCCCCATTGGTACTGCCAGCGAAGCTCCTTCTGAGAGACCTTTGCAGGGAAAAGAGAGGTTGGGATGAGAAGATAGACAGTGGGTAGGCCCAGAAATGGATGAAGTGGTTGGCCGACCTTGAGCAGCTGTCAAAGTGTTATGTGCAGAGATGCGTCAAACCGGCAGAGGTTGAACCCATGAAGATGGCACAGCTCCACCACTTTTCCGATGCCAGCATGGATGCATATGGAACAGCTACCTACATCGTGCAGACAAACAACCAAGGCAAAAGAAAGGTTTCCTTGCTGATCGGAAAGTCCAGAGTCGCTCCACTGAAACACATCACCATTCCGAGAATGGAGTTGACAGCAGCAGTCGTCGCCGTCAAGGTCGACAAGATGCTAAGAAGAGAGCTTCAGGTTAAGCTGGAGCAATTTATCTTCTGGACAGACAGTACTACTGTACTGAAATATATTGAGAACGAAACATCTCGCTTCAAAACTTTTGTCGCAAACAGGATCTCAATCATTCGTGAGGCTACTACACCAAGCCAATGGAGATATGTGAACACCTCTGTGAACCCTGCGGATCAAGCTTCAAGAGGTCTGAAAGTTGAGAGTTTTATCCAAAGTGAGAACTGGATACAAGGCCCACGTTTCCTGTGGAGAAATGAAAGTGAGTGGCCAGAAAGACCAGATCTGTCAAGCAATGTACTGGAAGATGACGATGAGGTAAAGAAGGCACCTGCAGTCTGTCTTACAATAATAGACGAAGGAGTAGCCACAGTGAACAAGCTCACTGATCATTATTCAAAATGGTGTAAGCTGAAGAGAGCAGTGGGATGGTTTCTCCGGATTAAAGATCTGCTGCTGCAACTCAGTGGAAAAAGGAAAGAGTTCCAAGCCGCCTGTATTAATTCAGAAGACAACCCTGCAAATCAAGAAACCTTTCTTAAGCAGCAGATGAAGAAATACAGAGCCACACTAAACAAGAATCTGCTCACCGTGGAACATTTGGAGTTAGCTGAAAAAGTGCTTGTTCGCTTCAGCCAAAGGCAGGCATATCTGGAAGAGATCAAAGCTTTGGAGAAAGGACAGACACATGTCAAGATGAGTAGTCCACTCAGCAGATTGGATCCTGTTCTGGAAGACGGCATACTTAGAGTAGGTGGACGGCTAAACAACTCTGCTATGCCAGAGGAGGCTAAGCGCCCCCTCATCCTCTCTAAGAACCAACGTGTCGCTACTCTCCTTTTGCAACACATCCACAGAGAAGTTGGACATGGAGGCAGGAATCATACACTCTCAAAGTTAAGGCAGAAGTACTGGATTCCAAAAGCTAACGCAGCAGTAAGAAGGATCATAACTGATTGTACAGTGTGCAGGAGACTACATGCCAAGGCTGGACAGCAGAAAATGGCCGACCTGCCCAAAGATCGTGTATTGCCAGATGAACCCCCCTTTACCAACGTCGGAGTAGACTACTTCGGACCCTTTGAAATTAAGCGGGGACGCAGCCTGGTGAAACGGTATGGCGTGATCTTCACTTGTCTGGCAATCAGAGCAGTGCATATCGAGGTGGCTTACTCCCTTGATACCGATTCTTGCATCAATGCTTTGCGCCGCTTTATCAGCAGAAGAGGACAGGTGGCGATGATACGATCTGATAACGGCACCAACTTTGTTGGAGCAGAAAGAGAGCTACGTGAAGCCATTGAAGAGCTGAATCGGTCCAAAATACACAATGCAATGTTACAAAAAGGAGTCAAGTGGATCTTCAATCCCCCAGGTGCTTCCCACCACGGAGGAGTGTGGGAAAGACAAATACGCACTGTTAGGAAAATTCTTAATTCAGTGCTCAAACAGCAAGCAATGGATGATGAGGGCCTTCAGACCGTGCTATGTGAGGTGGAGTCCATTATCAATGATCGCCCCATCACAAAGATTTCAGATGACCCCAATGACCTTGAGGCACTCACACCAAACCACTTGTTGTTACTCAAGTCTAAATCAAGCGTGCCCCCAGGGGTGTTCAGGAAGGAGGATGTGTATTCACGACGCAGATGGAAACAATCACAATATCTGGCTGACCTGTTCTGGTCAAGATGGACACGGGAATACCTACCTCTCCTACAAGAGCGCCAGAAGTGGACCACACCAAGGAGAAACTTCCAGCCAGGAGACATCATCTTAATTGTGGATGACTCAGCCCCTCGTAATTCATGGGTGATGGGAAGAGTCCTTAAGACTATGTCAGACGCCAAAGGCGCTGTACGCAGCGTCAGCGTGAAGACCAAGACCAGTGTCTTAGTGAGACCGATCACAAAGCTCTGTCTGCTTCTCGAAGCAGTGTGATGGCCCCCCCCAAGGAAACAAAAACGGACCTCCAGTAAAAAAAAAGGGAATATAAGTTCGTAAAGTTGCTTGATTATGTTTAGATGATATGGTCCTATTTAAGTTTAATTTTAGTAATTGGTATGCCTAGCCAATTAGGGGCCGGAAATGTAGGAGCCATATGTTAAAATGTATAGTCTGATATTTTTGAATATTATTATCTTTTGTTGTTAGTGCTATTATATCATTTATTGGAACCAGCCGCGTGAAATTAAGGGCATAGACGACCGCAGCTGTTCGTGATTACGAGACGTTATAGCCGACGGCAGCTGCTGGTGATTGGTGTGTGAGAAGGAGAAAGAAGCACCGAGCAACATAGTTTTTTGACCTGAGAGAATATGTGTTTGTATTTGATACCTGAGAGAATATGTGTTTGTATTTGATACCTTTTTGTGTAAGTAAAAAACAAACTATCCTGAGACGTATTTTGTCCGAGTCAAGCTTATTTGCTATCTGTGAACCGAATTTTGGATTACTGGAACTACAACCATGGAGATCTAGCCTGTTAAAAAGAGAACCAGCTTCGTAGGACCGGAAAGCCGGAGTTTTCCCTGAATTTAGCCGGCTTAGCGAAAATCCTGCTTCGTGGTATACCCCCCAGGTACGCAGCACTAATCACAACATGGGCTGTTTACACAACGTTATAAAAACTAAGCTTTTTTCCATTTAAAAATTAAGTCAGAATTTTGAGATTTCAGAAAAAGGTTGAGAATTTTGAGATTCTTTGATAAAACTCAGAATTCTGAGATTTTATTAAAAAATAAAAAAATAAATTGAGAATTCTTGAGATTTTCAGAAAAAGTGAGAATTTAGATTTTCTTTAAAAAGGGATAATGTAGAGATTTTCTTTAAACAGTGAGAATTTAGAGATTTTTAATAAAAGTGAGAATTTGGAGATTTTCCTGAAATCCTCAGATTTTCTTAAAAGTGATAATTTTGTGATTTTTTGATATAAGTGAGAGTTTTTAGATTTTCAGGAAAAAGTTTGAGTTTCTTTCTTTAAACACAATGAAAGCATGTAACATCCGAATGTCATGCTAAGAGTACAGTTTTGAAGTATTCAGTACAACAACATATTTTGACACGGCTCCTGTTCACTGACCTGGGTAAAAACATGCTGCGCCTCCAGGGGCGGGCAGGGCAGAGCCAGCAGGGTCAGAACCAGCTTCCTGAACCCTGATCCGGGCTTAGTGTCCTTCAGTACGCTGGCCCAGTGCTCCTCCAGAGGAACCTAAGATAAGAAGTACTTTTTATGAGGAAATGTTTGCAGCAGCAGCATACAATCGAAATTAAAAGTACAATATCTCAATACAAATAAAATAGCATTACGAAAAAAAGTAGAAAATGTACATGTTGAATTACATATTTTTATTTTTATCTACTTGCACTATTTCTGTTTTATTGATTTGATTTATTTTGAATGTGTAAAACAACAATACAAAAATGTAACATGAGAATTATTATACAATACAAAATCAATCAGTGTCAAATTAATATACAAAAATATTACTGATTCTAAATTATATATAAACAGATGATCTACTTAATTACACATCCGAGAAGGGGTGGGAAGAACACTTATTTAATCCCACCCTTTCTCCCAAAAACTAAATTACTAACATATATATATTTTTTGTTTCTTAAAGGTGGGGTAGGTAAGAATGGAGAAAGCAGCTCGAGTGCGCTAGAATTTGAAAATACACAACTGCAAAAAATCTGCCACTTCCTCACAGAGCCCCTCCTCCAACACACACGAACGCACACATGACCAATGAGGGCACGAGATCAGTTTGTGCCCAGATGGAAGGCTGACAGGCAGGTAGGCCATCCAGTTACTTTAGCCGGCTCAGATGATTGGTCGAGCTTTTTACAGCACTACGGCTTCCACAGATGAAGTTTTTATGGATTTATTGTCAAAGAATTTCAGATATTCATTGCTATCGGGATGTTAAGAGCATTCCATGGAATATAACAACAAGTGTTTCTGAAGCGAATTACCTACCCCACCTTTTAAAGAAATACTTTTGTTATTGAAAAACAAAAACAACAAATAAACAAATGTTGTGTTGTACTGTTGGAGGAGCCTGTAGCTGTAACAATTTGCACTATGCACATCATCTTTTTCATATATATCCTGCTTACTTGAAGTGAACGGTTATTTTGAGTGTTCTTGAATTTTAATGTGTGAGTTTGTTTATACCTCGGGACTGTGGGAAACAGTATTTCCATCTTTCTGTGTGTACAAACATATTTTGAGATTGTCAATAAAGTTGACTTTGACAATAAAAGCCGTGAATCTTGAATGATATATTATACATACTGTAAGCATGTGTACCTGTGCAGAGTTCTCCCCCTCCTCAGCCTTCTGGTACTCCAGGAATTCAGCGATGAGTTCCTCCTCCTCCTCGGAGCTGCAGATTCCCAGCGAAGTCCCGAGTTCCCCGACTGATTTCCCCGTCACTTCCTGTCTGCTCCGAGGGTTCAGCAGCTGAGAGATGCTCCAGAGAGTCTCCTCACCGAGAGGAAGCTTCTCTGCAATGCAACCTGCAGGCATACACAACAGGAACATTTACAATGTATAATAAGAGACGCCTCTACAAAGTCTGTTTTTAAATTGCTTCTTAAAACTCTTCTCCTTAACGTTCGACACTTTTTAGCTTTTAAATTGTATATTGCTTTTACTATCTGGCTGTTGTGGTTTTACAATGGCCGTACTATATCAATTGTTTAATGCTCAAATGAAAGATCAGTCGGATTTGTTTGTAATGCTTTTTCAAGTCACTCTTGAACATATTAATGATTATCTTTACAATAGAAAATCTACCAGTAAATGTGAGTTTTGGTTGTTGTTATTGCTGTGTTTTATTAAGTGTGTTGTTTTTGTGATTTTTAACATGTTAAGTGCCCGAAAAACGTTATGGCGATCTGCAATAAGATACCAAATCATCTGGTCCGTACCTGTGAGTGCGGCGTAGAAAGACAGCGCCTCCTCCTCGAACAGAGCCTCTGACTCCTTCAGGAAGTCTTCCACTGCTTTCCCTCCCAGATTGATCTCAGAACCAGACAGATGGAAACTCTTGTCTTTAAGGATTTGGGCGTCTCGTTCCTTGAGGAAGCGATCAGCAGCCTCAGGACGGAGGAAGTATGAGGTGTAGGTGCTCAGCAGTTTACTGGCCTCCTGCAGGATGAGCAGCATGTCGGCTCGGTCCACTTCCTCCTCCGTCTGCAGGCGACTCTGGAAACTGTGCAGAGGTTTTAAAGCGTGCTGCAGGAACAGAAACGTGGCTCTGACTTTGGGATCCTGCAGCTGGGAGCAGACGGACTTGGCTTTCTCATCTTTGCCGTCACAAGACTTAAAGTACGCGATGAGATCCGTCCATACTTCCAATATATTAGTGACTAACAGGCAGAACTTAAGGCAGCCGGAGTTGAGATCAAACGGATCGTCTGCACTGATGTCTGAGCCGAAAACAGCCGTGAGGTCATCGTTCTTCGTAGAGCAGGAGGAGTGGTGGGTGTGCATGTCTACCATGAACTCTTGGACCTGATTGGAGAGCGCCTTGATCCCAGCATGGCAGGAAGCATCAGCGATGGCGTACAGCCCTCCTATAGCGACTATATTGGGGTTGAGTTCCCTGAGTTGTGTGCAGATCTGCTCTGAATCCGCGCCATTGTCATCCGAATAAACAGCCACGAGATTATCCGTGTGCAACCCGAACTTCTTCACCGTCTCCACCACCGCCGTGGCTTTTTTTTTCTCTCCGGTGCTGTCCTCTGACTGAAGAGCATCCAAAAATTGTAAGCAATGACCGGAGGCGTCAACGTCAAAAAACCCAACGAGGACCACGGACACGGTGTGGTCTTTTCCCAGCGGTTCCCCTCCGAAGATGTACAGGCAGTAAGGCGTGTGCTGGCAGGCGGAGGTGATATCTTTGGGATACTGAGACCCCAAACGACAGCGAGCAAAGAGTCGAGCCTTGTGTTCAGATTTAGCCGGGCCGGTGTAGCAGTGCTTGTTGATGAAGCTAACGGCGGCGTCGCTACACGGCAGCGTTTCGGACCGCTGGCTCTGCCTCACGGTCTTCTGGTAGATTCGAGTCCTTTTCTTGTGTTTGTTAGTGTCCGCATGTCGCCGGAGTTCAACAGGGCCTCTCTGTAATGTCTTCAGGCTGCGGTTGCAGGTGCGGCAGTAGGTGTAGTTATCTCCGAGAGGACTCTGGTCGGCCCAGTCGTAAATATACATCCACTTTTCATTGAAAAGGAAATTACCGGATGAGCTCTGGAAATCCTCTGACAAAGCGAGAGAGAAACGTTTCGGTTAAAACCACAATGTGCTGCGTCATTTTATAATTAGTACATTTCAATTGCATTTATCTGACTCTAAGGATAACAAGAACAGCGCCGACATATTCACTTCACTTGGTCACTAAAACCCTTTATGAACACACAGTTAGAAATACACTACATTCATACAGTTTTGTACATTTAACGTTTTTAGATAGTAAGTGTAAATATGCACATTGACATTGAATTTGATCTCGTTGCACGATCATCGCTACGACCTCTGCTTTTACCACTCTTATTTATTTATTTGTGTCTATTGGTTACTGCAGTGAGAGTTGCCAAATAAATGTTGTTGCACTTTGTATGATGACAATAAAGATATATTCTATTCTATTTAAACAAGCAGACCATTGTGAGTGCTGCTGCATCAGTTAAACGCTTAAAGGTAGGGTAGGTAAGAATGGAGAAACCAGCTCGAGTGCGCTAGAATTTGAAAGTACGCAGCCGAAAGAAATCTGCCCTTTCCTTCAGACTTCCTTACAGAGCCCCTCCTCCAACACACACGAACATGACCAATGAGGGCACGAGATATCGAGGCCATCCAGATGATTGGTCGTGCTTTTTACAGCGCCACGGCTTCCACAGATGAAATGTTTGTATGTATTTATTGTCAAAGCATTTAATGTATTCATTGCTATCAGGATGTTAAGAGCATTCCATGGAATATAACATGTGTTTCTGAAGTGAATTACCTACCCTACCTTTAAGTGCTTCTTTATTTTTCAAGCGAAACAGGTGAGTAACACAGTGACAGAAAGTATAAGTTACCTATAAGCAGGTTAGTGGTTGCGACAGTGGGGCTGATTTTCTTTCCCCCCCGAGCTCTCACAGGGTTGTACCCTTGCCTTTTCTGATTGGCCAGGTAGAGAGCTTTGAACCACTTTATGAACTCGAAGTTGATTTGAGAGTCCCCTCGTATGAGCTCCACGATTGGAATTGTCTAAACCAAGACAAAAAGACAACATTTAGGAATTAAAACAACTTCCATATTGCACATCAAGGGTGTAGTTTAACATTGAAGGTAGCAATTGTAGCAGAGAGTTATGGCGCTTTTCCACTGCAGGGCCTCGCACGGCTTAGTACGGTATAGTTAGGCCTTGGTAGGCCAGGCTCACTTTATGCTGCGTTTCCATTACAGTTTAGTAGCTGTGGCAGTAACTATAGTAACGCAGTGTAGGCGGAGCCGTGACGTCATCTTCAATGCGAACCACAAAACCAACATCAGCCGTTAGCTGTTAGCACTCAGAGCTCACAGCTCCTCATATCTGTTCAGAAACTAGACAAAAGTTAAACAAGTACAAACCACAGACTGTCTGAATACAGTCGCTGGTTTATTTATTTCTGTATAGGCCGTTGTTGTGAGTGTGGACGGTCGGAGCATATATAACGTTAGCTTAGCCAAGCTACATTCAGAAAACACGCATTTTAAAAGGTGTTTCGCCTGCCGTCTGTCTGCAGACTTGTCAAAGCATTCATTCATGGTTTTTACTAACCGGTATCAGTATGTTGTTACTTCGGCATCATTTTGAAACGTGTATTACAATTAAATCACGGTCAAATATGTTCATTTTGTTGTAATTGCCAGCGATTCTCTCTCTAGTTTAGCATAGCCAAGTGGAAACACAACCAAAAACGAGCCGGGCACGGCACGCTTAAACCGCGCTGTAGTGGAAATGCGCCATTAGATGAGAGCAACTCGTATTTCTGCACTAAGTATTGTTTTATTTGTGATCTAGGGGAATGCACAGCTCCTCCGTCAATCACTTTATTCCTCATTTAACCGTAATTGTACAACAGAGATACTGTGACCACAAACAAAACATTGTGTTCACGCATTTCTGTGTAACATAACAAAATATTTTGTCATGTTGGTTAACAGAAAGCCTGGACTCCAAGTAGCCCACTTTTAGGTGAACACTTTTCTTGTTTTTTGTTGGGTTGAGTCTGATATGGTTTCAGCATTTGGTGCCCTCGATAAGATATAGAAAGAAAATAAACAAATTATAAATAGTTTGACATTTGGCCCAGACCAAAAAGGCTAGAAACTGGAGGAAACAGTTAGCTAGATTGTAGGTTCAAAGGTATGAAATCTACCAATCCGCACGTCTCAAGAAACTGTAACGTGTCTCTATAAGAGATAGCATACCTTAGTGATGCTGCTCTTGTCGAAAGCCTTGCAGAGGAGACCGAAGTTGTGCATACAGTCGTCGTCACTTTGCACATCAAACTTCACCTGGGTCATGTCCACAGAGCCGGGAATGACCAAGTCCATCATCTGACAGTGGCACGCACCTGCGGGATAAACACAGACGGGTTAGAAAGAGGTGTCGGTAGAACTGGTGTTTTTCACCGCAGTGAGGATATAACGCTGTGCTGAACAAGGGGTAACCCCAAAGAAAGATTTAGATTTTCGCATAATATCTGCTCAGACTGATGAGTTACCTGAACCCATCTGCCGCACATCTTTGAATTGGGTCTTCAGCAGATTGTTTATCCAGACCACCAGATAGTGACGGCTGCTTTTATCTTTGCTGTTGGACTCCGGAGTCACAAGCACGGGACTCGCCATCTCACAGCTCTCTGAGAAAAAAGAAAGATTGAACATGCTCATGACTTTGATAGTGGGGTATAATTGAAATCACAAAATGTTGTACATTGGCTGTGGGTCAGCAGGCAGGAGTGTTGGTGGTTATATTCTAATTACTATTATTAAATCCCAGTTTGGTTTAACCTGTAACCAGTTCCTGCGATTAATATTACCTTTACCATCCATTGTGAGACTTTTTACATTAATAGTCTTCTTTTTGTCCGTTCATATCATGGATTTGTTGGTAAATAATTGTTTTGGATTGCATTTACATGTTTACTGAAGCCAGGATTGCAAACATGACAAGATTGTGGATGCATGAAGTGATAGAAGAGAGAAAAATGTGTGTATTTAATTGATAAAGTATCTGTAATACTGCATAGTAATAATTTATGGAGATGGAAAAAAGGTAGTTTTACCTCAATGCAGAACATGTAGTTATATAAAACGTAAAATATGTCCATATGAAATGTAGTAGAATAGAAGATTAAAGTATAATTAAAACTGCGGTCACACTTGTGCGCGCAGTGATGGCCCTCGCATCCGTGCGCCTGTCGGGGAGGGCAGCCGGTCGTCCCGGCGTCAAGCAGACGCTCGCGAGTCCTGGGAAATGAGCCGTTTCTCATTTCTCTAATTTTCGCGTCCCAGACTCCCAGGCCCTCCGGCAGCAACCCGGAAACGGATGTCGGCGCGCCGTCTCGAAGGAAAACAAATTTCTCTAAAGGGTCGTCGAGGATCGATTATGGAGGAGGCTGTCTGGAGGAGCGTAACCGAGGATACACTAATTTAGAGGAGAGAGGAGTGTCTCTAGAGGAGCTATAACCGAGGGTACACTGAAGTATTCTCCTGAGACGATTTCAGCCAACAGTGATGTTTAAAAGAGGTGTGACACATGGCTGGACTTCTGTCAACGAAGCACAGCTCTGCAAACTGTTCCCGTTGTGATTATAAGTTATTTGAGATGATCAAATGTGCATCAGACTTTCTGCCCTTTACCGTTTGTTTACTCACTAATCACATGTCCCCTGGATGTTACGCTTTTTTTTTTTTTTCTCAACACAACTGCTTTCATTGTGATGCGATGTTTACAGTGAGAACAGCTGCTGAGGTCAGTGCAGAAAGCAGAACAGTGTGTATAATATATATCGCTCAATAACAAATGTAACAGGCCTACATTTCACACTTTATTTGTAGGCTTCAGGAGATATCTACAAAGAAACAGTAGGGTTAGGGTTAGGGAGTGTATAGGTGTCTTTTGTAATGAATATGCCGCCAGCAAAGGGCGTTGTTGGACTAACAGTAAGTGTGTGTGTGTGTGTGTGTGTGTGTGTGTGTGTGTGTGTGTGTGTGTGTGTGTGTGTGTGTGTGTGTGTGTGTGTGTGTGTGTGTGTGTGTGTGTGTGTGTGTGGTGTGTGTGTGTGTGTGTGTGTGTGTGTGTGTGTGTGTGTGTGTGTGTGTGTGTGTGTGTGTGTGTGTGTGAGAGAGTTGATGTGCCAGGCAGACAGGCAGGTCTCAGTAGCTTATCTGACATATAATTGGTCAAAAATGGTACATTCTCCGTTAGCCTACGAGCTCCCCGTTTGAGCGAAGGACTATTCCTTCTCAATGTAGCATGACATTGGATATGCGCTGAAGTTGTCCTGGATTGGAATTTTTCCGATCATTCCCCTCGGAGGAGTTTGCAAGAATGTGCTTAAAATGCATGAAAAACGCACATTTTTCAAAATGGCCGACTTCCTGGGGGGCGGGGCTAATGGAAGGCAATTTGAAATATGTGTGCAATCATAATAGTATTGTGTATACAGCGTTTCGTGAATATCGTAAAAACTATATGCGAGCAGTTTGGAGCAATTTGCGCCATGTGAATCGTCAAAAATGGTGTATTCGCTGTTAGCTTACGACCTCCACGAGTAATTTTTCAAAAATGTGCTCCTCATTTAAGTATCCTATTGGATAGGGGCTAAACCTGTCCTGCATTGGAATTGTTCTGATCATTCCCCTAGGAGGAGTTCGCAAGAACATGCGTAAAATGGCTGAAAAACGCACATTTTTCAAAATGGCCGACTTTCTGGGGGGCGGGGCTAATGGAAGGCAATTTGAAATATATGTGCAATCATAATAGCAATATGTATACAGCGTTTCGTGAATATCGGATTAACTATATCCGAGTAGTTTGGAGTAATTTGCGACATGTAAATCGTCACAAATTGTGTATTCACTGTTAGCTTACGACCTCCACGAGTAATTTTTCAAAAATGTGCTCCTCAATTAAGTATCATATTGGATAGGGGCTGAACGTGTCCTGGATTGGAATTTTTCCGATCATTCCCCTAGGACAGTGCTTCTCAAAGTGTGGTCCACGGACCACTGGTGGTCCGTGAGCGCCCCCTAGTGGTCCGTGAGTATATTGGTAACATTTCACATTTTAAATAAATAAGTTAATTTAAGTTTTCCGCACTCTCGCGGGAATATCTCCGCAATGGAGCAAGGTTAAGTTTAACTTTCTATTGCATGATATAGCCCAGCGCAACACCTTCGTCACACATGTTGCCACCTGTTTGTACCATTTTCAGGCGATTTGTAATCTGTTCGGTTAAGTGGTCCTTGTTATGAAAAAGTTTGAGAAACACTGCCCTAGGACAGGGGTCGGCAACCCGCGGGCCGCATGCGGCCCTTTAAGCCCTCTGCTCTGGCTCCCTTGAGCTTAGACAAAAATAAGAAGGAAATAAAATAAACGTATTTGTAGGACTATTTATATTTTGTTGCATGGTTGAAAATGTTTCGTATCTTGTATTTTGAGGTGATACTGTGACACATAAATAAAAAACAAAACGGTTTTAATTAGGTCAACTAAAATATGCGTCACATCCTGCTACGGTCCCGCGCGAGCGCCTTTTCTTGGAGGCGAATAACCTGACCCCCGGCACGATGAGCGAACTATGGATAAATCAAAGAAAAATACCGGAGGAACACAGGATTTAATTATGTGTGGACAGAGTTATCTGCTTTCACAGCAAACGATGCTGGTTTACCGGTATGTCTGATATGTAGAGAGAAGTTGTCAACGGTGGTGCAGCCTTTACGTATCGAGGAACAACAAGGGAGAGGAAGACAGCTGACGATCTTCAGTCATAATTCAATGGGGTATGTAATTTATTTCAGAAAACACTTTTTGTTATATTCCATGGAATGCTCTTAACATCCCGATAGCAATGAATATATTAAATGCTTTGACAATAAATACATTCAAAAATGAATCCCTGGAAGCCGTAGCGCTGTAAAAAGCACGACCAATCATCTGAGCCGGCCCGGCTAAAATAACTGGATGGCCTAACTGCCTGTCAGCCTTCCATCTGTGCACAAGCTTATCTCGTGCCCTCATTGGTCATGTGCACGTTCGTGTGTGTTGGAGGAGGGACTCTGTAAGAAAGTCTGAAGGAAGAGGCATATTTTTTCCGGTTGTGTACTTTCAAATTCTAGCGCACTCGAGCTGGTTTCTCCATTCTTACCTACCCTACCTTTAACTCTTTTTAGGGTGCAGCTATATGTTTTATTTATTTCAAAGTGGGCCCATTTTAATAATATTTGTTTTCCCTTCAAATGTGCAGAGGACTCCCCAAGTGCTGTGTTTAATTTATTTTAAAGTAGGCCTGTGTATTATTTGTAATTCTCCTTATAAGAGTTCTTTGTTTCTTATTAGAGGTTAACAGTTTTATATCATGTAATAAATAGCCTAATAAATGCAAAAAAACTGTAGTTTTTGTCTGATATAACAATAAAAAACTATGAAATGTTTTGCGGCTCCAGACAAAAAATGTTTTGGAAAAAGGAGCAAAATGGCTCTTTTGGTCAAAAAGGTTGCAGACCCCTGCCCTAGGAGGAGTGCGCAAGAATGTGCTTAAAATGAATAAAAAACGCACATATTTCAAAATGGCCGACTTTTTGGGGGGCGGGGCTAATGGAATGTATGTACAAATATGTCCGCAATTCCACGAGGAATGTCTGTGCCAAAATTCGTGAAGTTCTGAGAAACTATGTGACTACCACACAATAGGGGGCGCTAGTGAGCAGTTTTTTTGAAAATGTACGTGTTTTTTTTTACATTCTCGAAAAGGTCCTGGGCTCTGACGTGTGTCCCATGTTTTGCGTCCGAAGCTCATTTTATGCTATCGCAATTTAAAAAAAACATATAGGCCACGCCCACATTTGTTGCAACACTTTAAATCTGAGTTCGTAGTCGCCCCGAGAGTATGGGTTTTTAATTTAAAAAAAAGATTAGTCCATCCGCTCTTGAGTTATAAATTGGTGGTGTTTTTGGCGCCCCCTATAGTCCAAAATGAAAATGCTTTGGTGTGCCTATTCCTCAAGACAGACTGAACCTATTTACCAAAATCTGTGATGTTTGGATACATTGTTGATGAGTTATGTGCATTTCTTTCTAAGCCCCACCTTTTTGCGAGTACATTTTAATTCATGGCGGAAATGTTTATCGTTTGAACATACTCATCGCCTAGGGTAATGTGTCTGACCCTCCACCGATGCTGTATACGAAGTTTGGTGTTGAAAAACTGAAAATTGAAATTTAAGTGAATATTTAACTGTTTATGTAAATTATGCCAATTTTTTTTTTTAAATGTAGGCGGAGCTTAGGGTTCCAAGAGGATTATTTGTAGAACAGGTCCTCCCGGATATGTGTGCAAAATGTCAGGTCATTCGGAGTTACGGTGCGACTTTGTACATTTATTCCGAATTGGGATTTTTGATAGGTGGCGCTAGCGAGCAAATTGGACAATTTGAACCCATTGACTCCAGAATAAGGTAGTTTTCACCAGTCCTGGCGTCCGTGCAAAATTATACAACTTTTGAACCGTCCTAAAGGCCTCAAAAACAGGAAACGCCAGCAGAAAAATAATAATAGGAATAATTCCACCAATAACAATAGGTTCCTCGCACTTCGTGCTAGGACGCCGTTGGGTCCTAGCGCTCCGAGCTCCGGCCCTAATAATTCCACCAATAACAATAGGTGCCTCGCACTTCGTGCTAGGACGCCGTCGGGTCCTAGCGCTCGGGCCCTAATAACACCCACAGACAGGCATTGGTCTACAGTTGAGTCTTTCTGTGATTCAAACCAAACTACAAAAGGCCACCACCACATTGTTATTCATTCGTAAAACATGGCTGCCTGTCAGTATTACCAAAGCCAGTGTTTACCCCCCTCACCCCATGCCTGACTGCCAGGGATAGGGTGGGGGTGAGACTGGGACAGTGGGTGGGTTATTCTAATCCCCTTTTGTCTGCTTGTGGATGACAAAGACTGGGTGCTTTCTGTCAAATATCTAATTTCAGTGGTTTGGTTGTATCTTGTTTCCTCGCCATGTGTGTACATTAAAACAGCGATCTGGGTGTTAAGAGAGCCACGCTGCTGCTGTTTCTCCTCCCCTTCCTCCTCAATGTATAGAAAATGAAATCTCGCGTTGTCTATTTTTTGCCGCGAACATCCCCCAGTGAAATCAACTTTCACTTACAAGGAAACAGGAGCTTTAACATAAGATCCTGCTACTTTTCGTGCAGAAATAACGAACAAATGCAATACACCGGAAGGTTTACAGTAACTGCCATACCGGCATGTTAGTTTCAATAATCCCGGTTTGTCACATTGCATGCATGGTGCAGGGGCTGCAGCCTGTCTTTATAATATTTACGTTGGAAGCAAGAAGCCAAAAGTCACACAATCAAACAGCCGTGTTTGTAATGTAATAACAGCTGATTATCATTGCATATGCACTGGAAATCAATGAACTAAAAGTAAATTGCCGTCATTATTAGGAAGTCAAATGATCCAATCTGCTTTTGTATCGCCTATGAGCTGCTCTTTGTTTTTTTACCCTACAAAAGGCTGGATTTACAACAACACAGGACAATAAATGCTGTAACAACACAATCCTGCGCTCGTAACTCGTGCAAAAACTGCGTTAAGAGGAGAGAGCCTCGGTTTAATATATGGTTTAGTTGTGTGCATGCATAGCAGATATATCGATGGTAACTCACCTCTCCGTTTCCCCTGTAGAAACGGTAGAAACAGATGCTGAACATTAGCTTCTTCCCGAAGCACATTTCCCTTGTGACGTCCTCTCTAGCCGGGAATGATCCATTGGACGACCGAGGCAGGAGGCTGTCCCGTAGAGAGACCCGCTAGCCAACGTCCCCGTCCGGGAGTACGAAACTCCCACCCCCAACCCGCCCCCAACAAGAACACAGCCTGCTTAATAATTAATCAAATGTATCTTAATGCTAGCTTAACAAGAAATAAATATCGCCGAGGTTCAGTTACTCCCCTAACAATGATGCCGATTAATAATGAACTAGTCCATACGTTGCTAGCTTACGGTCATCGAACCGATTGTAAGAACTGACAAACGTGCTAACGAGCTAGCTGTTAGAGTACTTTAAAGTTTGCAAACTAACGTTCGCCTAACATGTTGAATATTACACCTCTACACGAATAACATTTTAATTAATTATATCATGGTGATCAGCACACTAGTTGATTCTACCTTCATTTCTGTTAGTACGGGAGAGAAGTCTTTATAGCAACACAAATGCGATGTTATAATCGGAGGGGCTTGGGGTTCGGTCTTACTGGCGAATTAACCGTGTATATGTCGCCAGTTGAAATATGAAATATTACATGATTGTTAGCTTTGCCTGCTGACTTTACATAAAGTCGGCTGTAACCGTTTTACGATACCAGTTTTCACAAACCGTAATAACAGCTGTTTGAGTATTAGCCCGTTTCTTTAACGGCCCATTTAATGTACCGACAGTTGTAACTGAGTAATGGCGGCGGCGCTGTTTCAGGCCAAAAGGTGGACGTAAATACTTTTTATAGCCACACAAAAGGCAATATGTTATAAGCGAACCTTAACCTGAATATCGGCTATGGTTAGTTTCGGTCATATTGGCTAATTAATTGTGGTGGTTATGTCACATATTGAACGCTGAATATAAAATAAATACGGATCGGCCGTGGCCGTCTAAACGATACCAGTTTTCACACATTAATAATGGCAGTAACAGTTGTTGTTTGGATATTAGGTCTGTTTCCTTATCGCATGAACCGACCGATATAACGGTAATGGCGGCGGCGCTGTTTCGGGAACAAATGTGGACGTAGAGACGATCTATAGCCACAAAATGGGATGTTATCATAGATGGTATATATAAAGAATGTTATAATCGAACCTTAACCTGGATACAGGACAGCTATGGTTAGTTAGTTTTGATCAAACTAGCGAATTAACGGTTGTGATGAGCATAATGAAACATTGACTGAATGGTGATTCACGCCTGCTGACTGTAGATTAAGTCGGCTGTATAACGGCTGTAAGGGCAGTTTCCTTAGTAAGGTCTGTTTCTAAACTGTCCATAATATTATGAACCGACCGTCGGATGTAACGAAGTAATGGCGGCACTGTTTCAGACCAACGGGTGGACGTAGAGATGTTTTATAGCCACACAAGTGGCGACTTTGTAAGCGAACCTTAAACTGAACATCTTTGGTTAGTTTCGATCATATGACCAGTGGTGGATGTGTCGATAACGATCAACAAGATGGCTTTTACCTTATTAATAACAAAACAGTTCGCGGACTCAAAATATAAACCGACATTTTCGTATTACTGTCAAAAAATAAATGGCCATGAATATAAAGCTACCCTGCGCAGACAATATGGCGCCATTTTGTGAAAGGACAAGAAGCCATTTCATAATCTGAACCTAGAGTCAAACAACATGACACTCAGGCCTAAACTGTCTATTTAAGCATATTTTAAGTATCTATTCATTTATTTGACTGATAAGCCCTTCCATAAAACAATTTAGCATTTTGTTAAGGCATTTTAAGGATTTCTGATTTCAACATGAATACAAAAAATACTAAGAAAACCTAGGGAACTCATTTTAATTATAAAAGTTCCTTTATTATCATCCCGTAATCAATTAGACCCTTCAAACTACATTTGACATTCACAGTTACACGTCAGAGTTTGTTTTTAGGTCTTAAATTACATGATAATAGAGACCCTTTAGAAATAACTAAATATTAGTCTGGGCATAGGCTATGATACTGGTTAGAAACCTGGTAGGCTATTAGGATTGGTATTTAACGCCAAACACCAGCAGTTTTACAGATTGTCGGCAGTCAGAGGATGGTACATCCCCTAGCTGTTACATACAGGGTTTCACTAAAAAAACATCAATAAATTACTATAATTACCAAAAATTGATGTTGTTTTCAATACCGCCGTACTTGCCCATATTAGTGAAAACTATGCAAAAAAATGTAAATTATCTTTTGTGGCAAACATTTTTTGATTACTGCTTGATATAAATATTTGAATAGAAAATGATATACATTTTTGGTTCATTCCAGACATTTCATGTCCCCCATATAAAGAAATCTAATAATCCATGCCCAAAATGCTAAAACATGCACTTGTTGTGTTAAACATACTTGTCTTGAGACAAAATGTATATAAAGTTGTAGAAAAAGTGGTTTAAAAATATTATTTAAATTATCAAATAGCTCTCGAACATTCCCTAAAATGGCATTTTTCTCTTGTCCCCGCTTCTTGCTGACCAACTTGCATGTCAAATATAACATTTAAAATAGGGATTTTCTTTACTTTTTTTGGTATTATTCTATTGATATATGTCTCTTGTAATGGTAAAATCAATTTGTTAAATCATAAACATATTTTAGATAACAGTAATTTTGCACAGAAGGTGTGTCCCTCAACATGCGTTCAACCATGTTACCCAAACCTTTTTAGATTGGCACAGGAAGTGAAAAAACTGTAAGTCAGATGACACAGTGGAAGTGACATCAGCAAGCCATGTGCTAGTGCCATGGGTAGACCAAAAATAAGTCCTCTCTTTTATTTTTCATATTTTTTACAATCTTTTCAGTCTTAAAAGAGTGTGGCACTCTGACCCACTCAACCCTGTTACTGATATTATCAGAATAAAGCATATTAATTTCAAAGTTATCTTTCTTGCATTAGATATCCAAGTTTGTCCTTGCCTTGAAAGTAGCATTACATGCTACATCTAGCAATAATTCCTGAGGTTAAAGCTCAAATTAGCATTGATTTTCAACCCTGTTACATTCAACCCTGTTACTATAATTAGAGTAACAGGGGTAATTCTTCATTGGAAAATATACATTTGATGCCTAGCTGGGCAAAACACTTTTTTTGATGGTTTATTATCTGTTTTTCCTAAATACATTAAAAAAAATTAGAAAATAAAAGGTTCATTTTTCAAAAATGTTGGTGTCTAAATTGTCCTCCAATTCTGGAATGACCCTTTTATCAAAGCTTCCATGTCATGTGACCCATTGACTCCCGATCCATATCATATATTGTAACTTCACTGGACAACACTTCTTTATATTGGATTTTCCTCATAATACAATAATTAAAGGCCTATATTAAACATTTCCCATCTCCGTCATATGTGAGCTTGAGGGTACTGAGAGTCACTGAAGAGGTCAGGGGTTAATGTGTGTGTCTGAATTTATGTTCAAGCTATAATAATAATAATAATGTGAGTAAATGGTTAGAGATGAGGCCAAAAGGCTGAACTCTGATGGCTGTGTGTTCAGATGTTCATCGTACTGCAGTATTTATTTATGGACAGTGCAACCCTTAATGTGAAAATGCTCTTACAGTGTGAAATATGGCTTTAATACTGAACACAACGAATGGTCCCTGAATGTGTGTTTATGATGTCATTATGAAGATAACTCTGCAGTGAGTAGATCCACTCAGTGTTCGCCTACAGCGGGGTCAAGGGGGGTCGGTGTGGGGGTGGGGGGGCTTTGTTTTCTCCAGCCCATCCTCCCAGTGTCCGGATAATCAAAATGTTCACTTTCCTCCATGTGGCTGACACTCAGTGACCGTGTAATAGTAGAGAAGGGGTAAACATGTGTGTGTAATCTTATTAAAAGGGTAAAATATCTATAAAGAGATCGATACTTTGCTTTATAGGTTCATCATATGTTGGGTTCAGAGGTCAGATAAAGGAATTTGGGAGTCTTAATTGTAACCATGCTGACAAAAGGAGGAAGAAAAGCCACCCTCAATTCTTCTGGTCTGAATGACTGGTGCAACAAAGTCCAAGAAAACACTTGGTCGAGTGGAATGAAAGGCACTTTTTTAAATATATATATATATATATATTTTACCCACAAGAGAGTCTCACTAACATTGAAAATTAAGTTCACCCTCAAATTGATCATTTGTACATCAATGACTCACCCTGTCACATTCAAGTGTTGTAAAAAATGGAATGAATTGAAGTAATTGGATCCGAATTTAACAACATAAACACTATATGAAAAGATATGTATTGCAGAATCATTTGAGTCTCATATATCCAGTCGATGCACTCCTTCACAAACACACAACTTTTTACTAAAGCTGACATATTTAAAAACACGCCTGTACAAGCTTGAGATTGTTTATTCTAATATTGAGTAAGGGTTTATTGTTTGTAAAGATTTATAATATACCCCAAGGCCGAATCCGCCTACTTCACAATGGCTTTTCATAAAGCTATGGGTGATGCGACTTATACCTCCATATTTTATACAGTCTATTATAATGATACAATGATTTAATACTAGGAATGACATTGCTATTTAAATAACAGTTAATTATATTTCTACAACTTCAAATCATGTTTATTGCAGTAAAAATTACAAAATGACAAAGCCAAAATAAGCAAAAACAATCAGCCGTTGCTCCGATAGGGGATTCAAATTCCCATAAAACTAAGGGCCACGTTTGTTGGATTAAAACCATAAACAGCAAATATATATTTATATATATATCTACAGTAGAAAGGACATATACCACAACGAATACACAATATAAAATGTTCTTGACAAGTCAGAATGTTTTTTAAAAGATCGATATACTAGAGCAACAGAAATATAGACATATATTACAGAAGGCGAAAAATATACATATGATATTAAATAAAATGGGGTGAAGCCTGCGAGCTATTTCAGGCAGTCAACTCGAGCACCAATCATACATTAACACGTGACGCACCTCGTCCCTCTTACAACCAACCAAACACATTCTCCTAAACCTGCCGCTCTATTTAAGCTGCTGTGTTCACTTGCTATTGCTGCGTTCATGTTCCTGCTGCTGTGTTTCATGTTGCTGCTGCTCGCCTGCCCCACCACCACCCCAGCTTCCCCCCCACCACCACCCCAGCTTCCCCCCCACCACCAACCCAGCTTGCACCCCAGCTTCCTCCCCAGCTTCACCACGGCCCTTAAGAAGCTCCTCCTTTGTTTGTATCAGAGCTGCAAAAAGTATTTTGGGATTCTACTTTAATAACAAATGTGCATCAGATGTCTTCATGCTGTCCAACGAGCATAGACATATTGGAGCCATATCTTTTGTAGTTTTACACATTGTTGGTTAATTTAACGCCAAAAATGACTGAAAACTGAACGTAAGAGGTCAAGTTAAATGCGTTAATTGTTATTTCAATTATCTTTTATTACAGTAGCTGCTGGTGTTTCTCTACTTCTAAAAATTAAACTAATATAATATTTTTTTATGAGATTTTAGCATTTTATTCATTATTTTTTTTCCTTTCTTTTTTTTTACATTTCACCCTCTTTATCTAAAACAGTGCTTCTCAAAGTGTGGTCCGCGGACCACTGGTGGTCCGTGAGCGCCCCCTAGTGGTCCGTGAGTATATTGGTAAAATGTCACATTTGAAATAAATGTATTTATTTAAGTTTTCCGCACTCTCACGGGAATATCTCAGCAATAGAGCGAGCTTAAGTTTCACTTTCGATTGCATGATATAGCCCAGATAAACACCTTCATCACACATGTTGCCACTTGTTTGTACCATTTTCAAGCGATTTGTAAAAAACGATGTGTTTTTGGATATTTGTGGAGTTAGGTGGTCCGCGAGTGTTTTTTTTATTGGTTAAGTGGTCCTTGGTATGAAAAAGTTTGAGAAACACTGATCTAAAACAAAATCAATCGTGCCAAATGGCTTCAAAAAAACAAAAAGAGACACATGACTGTATTAGTTGGTATCTTCCAGTAGAAATGGTTTGTTCCTGAGGTGGAACCGAGCTGGTCTTTAATAGTCACTTTTATAAAAAAGCTCTTTAACACGCCTTGGTTTGTTCTCCATGATTAGACAGAACATATTTTTGGTATTAAAAGCAGACATTGTAATAGAATAATGGAGGATAATAAGAGTTTAGCACCAACCAGTGAGTGATTCTGTAAAGAACCACAGAGAGATGAATGTCATTTGCATAAAACGTATACAAAAATCAGCTGACAATGAACATGTTTGGATCGAAACCTGGTAAAATATTACGGTAAAAATACAGAAATACTGACTGATGGATGTTGAGGTAGAGCCTGAAGCACAGAGCGAGATCAACGGGATTAAAAATGATGCTGAATAACAGATAATCACTAAATATATATTATATGTATATAACGTGATTGGCAGCATTTAAATGTTAATTTATAATCCAAATATCCAGCTATGAATGGTTACACAAGTTCCTACTTTAACATTACGAGCTTTTTAAAAAATGTTATTTAACGAAAATGTTGTTTTTTTTAAATGTCAACAAATGAACCTCAGCGCAAGTTCAACCAGGAAGTCCGTCTTTACTCATTAATTTCCTATTTCTATGTTACTACTGTCTCTCCTCTCAATAAGTGATCGAGCTTAACCAATCACTTCGCTCTATTCTCACAAGCCTATCACAGCGCTCCGCTAACCCTTTTTAACTCTGCTCTCCCCTCTGACAGCTGTCATTTCAGGTGACTCGATGCAACTCTCCTCTCCCCCTTTTCACGTCCTGTCCCTCTGAATCCAGGGTCAAGTTAAGCCCCTCCCCTTCAGACCGAACCCAACTATCCATACACCACCACCAGGGTCTAGACCCCGGGGGGTTTCATCAGATCGGTTCTCCCCTCCTGAATGAGGGGCCTAATCGCCAAAACTCCATTACATTCATTTGTGTATTCCTGGCAACAAATATGTATTCTTTCATCAGAACCGTCTGTCCTGATTGAAATGATATTAGTGTCTTATCTGTATCTGCACAGACACATTAAGCACATTTAAATGTTAATGGTGTGTAGTGTGATTCTGTGTAGTTTATTGATGGCATCCCGTTGGATCTGACGTCATCTGAACAGGACATCGCACGCTCACTGCTTGATAGCGCGCGAAGGTCCGTTTACACCGGTTGTTAAACAGCATCGTTATGGGGAAATGCAAGTCTGCGTCCAAATGGTTGGAAGATAAGGAGGAAGGACAATCAATACTGTATATAGTCAATGTGAGGTAAAGTGTGTCGCCAAGGTAACCGGTTAGAACTCAAAGTGACGATGAGGTCTTAAAATGTGTGGAAAGCGTCTTAAAAAAGGTCTTACTTCAGGATTCCTGCATAGACCCTGAAATGATGTCCAAATATGGAAATGAAGGCTATTAATAAGTATTACTAAGGCTTTTTTCAAATGATGAACCAACAATAATGGATAGAAGTAAAGCTCTGACTCCTTTAATCCTGATTGTTTATTGTAATGGTAGGCAAACAAATGTCTTGACTGCTTGTGTTTCCTGTAGGAATTAATACTTTTTACACCTGAGTTGATCGGTCAGGAAAATGTTTTTTAACCATCTTTGTGACAACAGATAACCTGAGATTAGCCCAAAAGAAAAATAGTTAACCCCCCGTTAATCTCGCCTCGTCCTTCAGGAGTAGATTATAGTTTGATCAACGCACCGAGAGGAGGAAGTGTCGGTGCCTGCTGGTGAGAGCGGATAAAAACGATGAGAAAAACACGTCTAAAAGTCGAACAGTGAATCAGGACAGATTGAATACCGTGGTGTTAGTAAGGCAGGATCAGCTGTTCACAGTTGTTGTTCACAGTTGTTGTTTACAGTTGTTGTTCACAGTTGTTGTTTACAGTTGTTGTTCACAGTTGTTATTCACATTCAAAGTAGTCCTTCAGCGGGGCGAACAGGTGTCGGATCACCGGGACGCTCCAGGATCTCCCGAGCACTCGCTGCCTCTGAGCTCGACCCATGTTGTTCACATCGGTGTAGTGTTTGGGGAAGCCAAAGATCCTGGAGGAGGAAAGAAGATCGAAATACAGGCTGAGTAAGAGGCAAGGCCAGTTTATTTATACAGCACTTTTCAACACAAGGCAATTCAAAGTGCTTTAAAACAATGAAAGACATTAAGAGCACATTAGAAACATTAAAAAGCAAAGATAATAAAACATGAATAACAGGTACATGAATAAAAGTTACAGAGCAGTGTGAGACGTGAATAGTTCAATTAAAAGTAGCGACAAAAAGAAAAGTCTTCAGCCTGGATCTAAAAGTAGTCAGAGTAGAAGCGGACCTGCAAGTTTCTGGGAGTTTGTTCCAGATGTTTGACAACATCCCAAACCAAGTTCTCACACTCCTCGACCCCTAGCAGTGTTTCCGCCAGACCAGGGCTGAGAGGGCGTGACGTCACGTCGTGTCACGCGACTTGAATTTTGAATTGAGCCGTCCCTTATAGATACCGTCTCTTTACGTGTTGGTGATGGGAATCTTTCGGCTCCTAAACGGCTCTTCATGTTACCACAGTTTACCACGGAGCCTCAGTTTCGCCGCTGCGAGGATCCGACGTTCACGGCTCCACTAGCACCCCCCGCCGAGGCTCGCCGGCAGTACACTTTCCGTCACAGGAACGAGCTTTGCTGGCGGCGAACAGAATCCCACCAGACTCCTTTGCCCCTCCAACAGAGGGACGTCCTTGCACTTTTTCCTTTTCGTCATTTCAAGCAATAAAAACTCTCGATCTTCTCTCGAATTATTATTCTTTATTAATAATTATTATTCGACGCCCTCGGCTCGAGTTCAGGGCGTTCCGAGCTGAATGAGGGCGTCAAATGACGGCAAGACGCCTGGCGGAAACGCTGACCCGTAGTCTTCCCGGGGAATTATAGTTCTTCTGACACTTTTCTAACCTTTTTATTAGTGCTGTCAAAATTATCGCGTTAACGGCGGTAATGAATTTTTTGAATTAATTGCGTTAAAATATTTAACGCATGTGCAGAATGGCCCGCCCCATACGTGTCACCAGTGGCAGCGCCAGGGTATGGCTGGGGTAGGCTACACCCATACCAAGAAATGGCTTAGCCCCACCATGAAAAATGATGTTAAAGTAAGCAAAATAAAGTCTGCCAACTCGCGCGGAGTAAATTGCACAGACAGCAGATTGATTTCAGTAGCCACGGTTTTGAAAACTTTTGTCACGTAGTGATCGTCTTCTCAATAGAGCATCTTTGATAACGGCGTGGTGTTGTTGCAGGAAGTCCCGACGGAGAATACTTTTGCTGTAGTACAGGTAACACATAACTGGTACGCAGGTTATGTGCGTAATCTGAAATCAGGGTTCATACACTTTTTCACCAATGATTTTCAATGACTTCTCAATGACCTTTACCTAATTTTCCATGACCAAAAAAAAAATTACCACTGAAAATGGATTATTTTAACATGGAACAGGAACATAAGGTCTGCATATGAAACATGTAGTGCCTATCTACAACAAATCAAATAGTAGGCTTACTAGCTTCTACACGCTAAAGCAACTGTAGTCAGGGATGCAAACTCAGGTATGAAAAAGGTGACAAGGATCCGAGCCCCTCGACCCCACGGAATATCGGCTTTAAAATGAGGAATAACAGGATGTTAGCAGTCAGAACAACTAAAGCAGCAGGTAATAATAACAGAAACGCCAAAGAGTTACATCTAATAGAAATATATTAAAGCATTTATTTTAATTGTGTAGCAGTCAGTTTATAATTTTGGCAGCACTGTTGAGCATTTTGAAAATGTATTTTCATGCCTCTGTGCAAGGCGTAGTCTTTCTATCTGCATAGCCACTGGTGTAAAGTAACTAAATTCATAAACTCAACAAGTACTATACGTGGGTACAATTTTGAGATACTTGTACTTTATTAAGTATTTCAATGTTTTTGCTACTATGTTCTTCTACTCCACTACAGTTCAGAGGTAAATGGTGTACTTTTACTCCACTACATGTATTTAATCCCTTTAGTTACTTTACAGATGTGGATGAATGATGTGAAATATAATCAAGTGTTAAATCAGACTTTAGTTCCACCTGGAGTAAATCCACCAGCTACCCTGCAGTATACAAAGTCATTCAAACTAGCTGCTCCTTCACCAGCTTTGAGAACACTTTCATGATCAATCATTATAAAACATATCATATTATTCTGAAATGGACCAATCTGCACAACGACTACTTTCACTGTCGCTACTTTCACTATATTTTGATGATAATACTTTTCTACTTTCACTTGAGGAACATTTTGAATGCAGGACTTTTACTGTAACAGAGTATTCCTACACTCTGGTACTTCTATTTTTACTCAAGTACAAGATCTGAGTAATTTTACTTTTACTCAAGTACAAGATCTGAGTACTTCTACTTTTACTCAAGTACAAGATCTGAGTACTTCTACTTTTACTCAAGTACAAGATCTGAGTACTTTTATTAAGTACAATATCTGAGTACTTCTACTAAAGTACAAGATCTGAGTACTTCTACTTTTATTAAGAACAAGATCTGAGTAGCCTACTTCTACTAAAGTACAAGATCTGAGTACTTTTACTCTAGTACAATATCTATACTTATACCACCTCTGTTTATAGCCTATGAAAAAAACGAAGGCTAAAGCTAACGTTAGCAGATGCTAGATAGCGACCATAGCATTGCGACAGAAAAACGTTTCAGTTCACATCACGCTCTGCCGCTCTGCTCTGAACACCTGAACGGCCCGTTCTAACAGCTGTTCACCAGCGGCTCAGTCTGTGCCACAGTGACTCCGCACAGTTAACGAACGCACCGTAGATAATGTAGCTGACCCTCATCCCGGAGCAGCAGAGTTCAGCCGACAGGCAGGAAGACTCGAGCACACAGCTCACGCTTCATATATTAAAAAATAACACCATGCGTGTCATGATGACACATACTGTAACAGCTCGCGACCGCAGATTATTTCGGCGGTTAGATAAAATGTAAATTATATTTGACGCAACTTTAGTTACATTTCCATGACTTTTCCAAAACTTTGGGAAAAATATTGTTTTCCATAACTTTTCCAGGGCCTGGAATTTGCATTTTGAATTTCCATGACTTTTTCAGGTTTTCAATGACCGTACGAACCCTGTGAAATGCGTACCGTCACTTGTGTCACAAAGTGCATTTGCGTACAGACGTACTTGTGAAGCTTTTCCAGAAGGCGGTTAGATCACCGGACGACAGAGTCGGTCTCCGTGTGCACAGACAGGGCTGCTGTTAACGTCGGTCTGTACAACGGAATTGTGCCAAAACTACGCCAACCGGCTGCGGAGGGAGACTCCCCCCCTTCACTGGAGAACTGAGCTAAAACAGCTGATCACAACGTTCACACTCTGTGGTCACGAAGTACTCCACTAGCCGCCGCCCCCCCCGTCGACTTTCCTGAAGTACTCCCCCGTTGATAGAAATCAACACGTAATGAATTAAGACCCCACGGTTTGATGATTGATAGGTGTGTGTGGGTTGTCTTTCATTTTGACACGCAGAAAAATGTTATAATAAACATAGATACTGTATGTTAAATGGATATATCCGCCTTCTTTCATTTATCTTTCCATTCCCACAACAATATACATAAAGAAATGGCATATTTTGGACATAGTTTGAATGGTGATTAATCATGATTAATTAAGTTTTAAGCTGTGATTAATCTGATTAAAAATGTTAATCGTTTGACAGCCCTACCTCATGTTGCATCTCCAGACAACACATGTTCCTGTTTTACTGTTACCCGAACCCGTCTTTGATCTTTAAACCCACTTTTCTTTTCAATTCCCACAATTAGGATATTTGAACCTGTGGTGCAGGAATGAGTCCTAAATGAGTCAGCTTTTTACCACTTGGTCAGGAAGTCGTGGCGTAAAGTCGGATTGGTCAAGATTATTTAGTAGTTAAATAGTTAATAGTAGAAGATAATATACTGTCGTTACTTATTGCTTTGCGTTTAGGAAAAAAGTGTGTGAGTGGTGCAGGAATGAGTCTTAGCTTTTTACCACTTCCCCAGGTCAGGAAGTCGTGGCGTAAAGTCGGATTGGTCAAGAACGTGATCGGCAATGAGAATTAAACAGGGAGTCGTAGAAATTAGGGCTGTACCAAATGTATTTTTGTGTTTCAAACACAGATTCAAACTAAAGGAACCAGCCTGTTTGGAAAATGTGAGAAGTAGAAAGTACAGGTATTTGTGTTCAACATGTAAGAAGTAGAAAGTACAGGTATTTGTGTTCAACATGTAAGAAGTAGAAAGTACAGGTATTTGGGTTCAACATGTAAGAAGTAGAAAGTACAGGTATTTGAGTTCAACATGTAAGAAGTAGAAAGTACAGGTATTTGTGTTCAACATGTAAGAAGTAGAAAGTACAGGTATTTGGGTTCAACATGTAAGAAGTAGAAAGTACAGGTATTTGAGTTCAACATGTAAGAAGTAGAAAGTACAGGTATTTGTGTTCAACATGTAAGAAGTAGAAAGTACAGGTATTTGTGTTCAACATGAAAGAAGTAGAAAGTACAGGTATTTGTGTTCAACATGTAAGAAGTAGAAAGTACAGGTATTTGTGTTCAACATGTAAGAAGTAGAAAGTACAGGTATTTGAGTTCAACATGTAAGAAGTAGAAAGTACAGGTATTTGTGTTCAACATGTAAGAAGTAGAAAGTACAGGTATTTGAGTTCAACATGTAAGAAGTAGAAAGTACAGGTATTTGTGTTCAACATGTAAGAAGTAGAAAGTACAGGTATTTGGGTTGTAAGAAGTCAATGTAAAAAGTGGTCAGAAAAATAAGTAGTAGAGTAAAGTACTGATACCAGAAACATGTACTTAAGTACGGCAACAAAGTATTTGTACTCCACTACTTCCCCCCCTCTGGATATAAAGACCCAGGATAAAAACATATTCAGAATATCTTACTGTTCCATCTCCGTGCACCACAGGTAATCCTCTTTTCCGTTCATGGTGACCGGCAGCGGGCCCATCTTCCCCTGCCGGATCGAGTTGGACTTTGTTGTGATGGTGCGGACCTTTTCAAACTGCAGGAAGAAACGACAATCAGAACCAGGAAGCACCGAGTTAAACTGAGACGACTTGAATGCCATGGAAGGACATTTAAATGCACAATATTACATTCTACAAATACGGGTCTCCTGCTCTCCTCTGAGGAGAGGACTCTTTAAAGTAGAGACACTACATACTGATATACACCTGAACATCAGCAGGAGAAGACTCTTTAAAGTAGAGACACTACATATTGATATACACCTGAACATCAGCAGGAGAGGACTCTTTAAAGTAGAGACACTACATACTGATATACACCTGAACATCAGCAGAAGAGGACTCTTTAAAGTAGAGACACTACATACTGATATACACCTGAACATCAGCAGGAGAGGACTCTTTAAAGTAGAGACACTACATACTGATATACACCTGAACATCAGCAGGAGAGGACTCTTTAAAGTAGAGACACTACATACTGATATACACCTGAACATCAGCAGGAGAGGACTCTTTAAAGTAGAGACACTACATACTGATATACACCTGAACAACAGCAGGAGAGGACTCTTTAAATTAGAGACACTACATACTGATATACACCTGAACATCAGCAGGAGAGGACTCTTTAAAGTAGAGACACTACATATTGATATACACCTGAACATCAGCAGGAGAGGACTCTTTAAAGTAGAGACACTACATACTGATATACACCTGAACATCAGCAGGAGAGGACTCTTTAAAGTAGAGACACTACATACTGATATACACCTGAACATCAGCAGAAGAGGACTCTTTAAAGTAGAGACACTACATACTGATATACACCTGAACATCAGCAGGAGAGGACTCTTTAAAGTAGAGACACTACATACTGATATACACCTGAACATCAGCAGGAGAGGACTCTTTAAAGTAGAGACACTACATACTGATATACACCTGAACATCAGCAGAAGAGGACTCTTTAAAGTAGAGACACTACATACTGATATACACCTGAACATCAGCAGGAGAGGACTCTTTAAAGTAGAGACACTACATACTGATATACACCTGAACATCAGCAGGAGAGGACTCTTTAAAGTAGAGACACTACATACTGATATACACCTGAACATCAGCAGGAGAGGACTCTTTAAAGTAGAGACACTACATACTGATATACACCTGAACAACAGCAGGAGAGGACTCTTTAAATTAGAGACACTACATACTGATATACACCTGAACATCAGCAGGAGAGGACTCTCTAAAGTAGAGACACTACATATACACCTGAACATCAGCAGGAGAGGACTCTTTAAAGTAGAGACACTACATACTGATATACACCTGAACATCAGCAGGAGAGGACTCTTTAAAGTAGAGACACTACATACTGATATACACCTGAACATCAGCAGGAGAGGACTCTTTAAATTAGAGACACTACATACTGATATACATCTGAACATCAGCAGGAGAGGACTCTTTAAAGTAGAGACACTACATATACACCTGAACATCAGCAGGAGAGGACTCTTTAAAGTAGAGACACTACATACTGATATACACCTGAACATCAGCAGGAGAGGACTCTTTAAAGTAGAGACACTACATACTGATATACACCTGAACATCAGCAGGAGAGGACTCTTTAAAGTAGAGACACTACATACTGATATACACCTGAACCTCAGCAGGAGAGGACTCTTTAAAGTAGAGACACTATATACTGATATACACCTGAACATCAGCAGGAGAGGACTCTCTAAAGTAGAGACACTACATACTGATATACACCTGAACATCAGCAGGAGAGGACTCTTTAAAGTAGAGACACTACATACTGATATACACCTGAACATCAGCAGGAGAGGACTCTTTAAAGTAGAGACACTACATACTGATATACACCTGAACATCAGCAGGAGAGGACTCTTTAAAGTAGAGACACTACATACTGATATACACCTGAACATCAGCAGGAAAGGACTCTTTAAAGTAGAGACTTTAAAGAGTCCTAGAATATGGCCCCTTTAACACATTTGAAATGCAAAAATGTTACCAAATGTATCTATTGAGCACTTTATCATGTCATCTTTCTCACACAGGAAACGTTAAGCTCCTACCATTGCCATGCGTCCGCGTTCCAAGCAGTCCTGCAGGCCGACTTTATCATCCATAGCCGTAGCCAGAGGTCTAAAGAGAAAACCACACAGGCATTTAAACTAAAGAACTGTTTTTAAGGAGCATATACTGAAGAAAGGGAATATTGATTTGAATTATTTACCTGTTCATGCCGGGGAGGTTTCCCCAAAAGTATCGCGCTCGGTGAGCAGGACTGACCTTCACTGCATCGATGAGGATCGGATTACACTGAAGAAATGAAGATAATAATAAGAGATAAAGCTTTGAGAGGATTCTTACAACATGTAGGAGCCAAAAATATTTTATTTTATTATCATTATTTGTTTACATCCTATAGTCGTAATTGGTCACTTCTGGCACGTATCACATGGATGTGACGAAGGTAATTTAATCCATACGATATTGTATTCTGTTGACCCTTTGGTCCAGTTGTAGTCATCGTTTGTTTTATTTTCTTTAATAAATATCAAGAACAACAACTTGAGTACGGACTCTTATTGGTCAAAGCTAAGAGCAGAGTTAAGCCTATAAGCAACTATTGGGAGTTTAGTTGCCGCACACCCGTAAATAAATGTTGTGAAACTACTGAATGTCCTCTTCCAACATGAGAGTAACATGATAACAAAGGTATCCCAACTGTAGCTGTGAACATGACAGGATGTGTGATGACCTAGAAGAGCATCAGCACTGTTTGAGGCATATGATATCTATGTGATTAACATGATGATTCATGCCCCGGCCACACGAGGACGAAAACGGCCGTTTGCGTTACTGTTTAGTGTCATATAGACCATTCGGCCACACGAGGATGACCGAATACGGCACTAAACGACTGAGGAAACGATAACGGGTCCCAAGGTGGATAGAACGGCATACGCAACGCTCTGGGGGGTCCAACGGCTCCGTGTGTACGCCCTATACGATCATTTTCTGATAATGATGAGGCAATAGCCCCACCTCTCCCCACCTCTGCTGCTCACCCCCGCGTCAAAGTAAACTGCACACTGAATTCAGATTATTTATCTTTCTCTCAATATGGACATAAACGCGAGTGAAGTCTAATCTGACAGGACGGAGACACCTCTCAAACTACCTAAACTAGTTATAAATATGTTTATTTTTACTGTCGGCCGGGTCACTCATTACTGGAGCAGCTGCTGCATGAAACAGACACTGGCGCTGTCCGAAGAGAGGGAGGAAAAAGAGAGGCTCCGTGTATTTTATTATTATTATATATAGAGTCGTTATTCATTTGTTTTAAAGCTCAATAAATAACAAAGAAGACCTTTGACCGGCACTTTTATAATTTTGTCCGAAGATTTAAACTTTAATACTCGTTGACTGGCGAAAAACTCTGCCCGGTTCCCTCGGCCCCCACCGCGGAGAATAAACAGAAGGGCAACCATGACAACCATGCTTCTTCGCTGCTTTTGTGGAGGAAGTTACAGCGCCACGTACAGGCTCCTGCATATGTACTGCAGCTTCTCCAGCGGTTGGAGCTAAACGGAGCGGTCTCGTGTGGGCAGACACTATCCGGATAACTATTGCGTGTGGACGGAAGCTTGTTTGCGATTGCGTTTGCGTTAATCCTATGCGTTTAGCCGTTTTCGTCCTCGTGTGGCCGGGGTCTCAGCCTCTATGGAGATAGACATATGACAAGCATGCTCATTTCTGACGTGGAGCTAATCTGAACTAAACATTGAATACTGCTTTATATTCCTCCATCTTGTGACGGTGTAACTCCCTCTCTTGGATATCAGCATGTGAAGGACACTGTTCAGGAACTAGTTGATGCTCTGTATGTGATGACTACTTCCATTCTGGAGAGGATCACAGATACATGGATCCTGAGGTTGAAGCTCAAGCCAGTGACCAGTGAGATTATCTTAACACTAATAAATAATATAATCACCTCCAGGAATCTGCAGATGTCTGATTTATCGTGGCCACTCATGAACACCACGTTCTCAAACAGCCAGAAGAACGGGCGGTCGTCGCCCTCCTTCGGCTTCATGAGCGTCAGCAGGCGGTAAAACTCAAAGAACAGACGTCCAGTTCCCTCTGCACCACAGAGAGAGAGAGGGAGATACACAGAGAGAGAGAGAGAGAGAGAGACCTTTGATGAGAACAGCAGCATCATCATCATGAGCTCCTGAAGATTTCAGCTTTTCTGTTTTTAAAATGAGATAAACTTAAACTTTTCTGACAAAATTATAAGAAGAAACACCTGTGGAACGGATTGACCTACCTGGAAACAAAAAAAGAAAGAGATACGGCAAGAAACCTGGGAAAATACGGTTCAACTGAAGAACCCAGCAGAGAAGCTAACCAACTGCCAACCAACTGCCAAACTGACGGTTTGCCTAACTGTCCTACTAGTTAACCGACACTGTTCAACTGAAGAACCCAGCAGAGAATGTAACCAACTGCTAACCAACTGCCAAACTGACGGTTAGTTAACTGCCAAACTGACGGTTTGCCTAACTGTCCTGCTAGCTAACCGACACTGTTCAACTGAAGAACCCAGCAGAGAATGTAACCAACTGCTAACCAACTGCCAAACTGACGGTTTGCCTAACTGTCCTACTAGTTAACCGACACTGTTCAACTGAAGAACCCAGCAGAGAATGTAACCAACTGCTAACCAACTGCCAAACTGACGGTTAGTTAACTGCCAAACTGACGGTTTGCCTAACTGTCCTGCTAGTTAACCGACACTGTTCAACTGAAGAACCCAGCAGAGAATGTAACCAACTGCTAACCAACTGCCAAACTGACGGTTAGTTAACTGCCAAACTGACGGTTTGCCTAACTGTCCTGCTAGCTAACCGACACTGTTCAACTGAAGAACCCAGCAGAGAATGTAACCAACTGCTAACCAACTGCCAAACTGACGGTTTGCCTAACTGTCCTACTAGTTAACCGACACTGTTCAACTGAAGAACCCAGCAGAGAATGTAACCAACTGCTAACCAACTGCCAAACTGACGGTTAGTTAACTGCCAAACTGACGGTTTGCCTAACTGTCCTGCTAGCTAACCGACACTGTTCAACTGAAGAACCCAGCAGAGAATGTAACCAACGGCTAACCAACTGCCAAACTGACGATTTGCTTAACTGTCCTGCTAGCTAACTAACACCAAGCTAAGAAGAGGAATTCAGGAGTAACAGCAGCAGCAGTTCAGCAGCAGCAGAGCCCCATGGCTTCAACCACAGCAAGTACAGAGGCTGTTCCTCTTGTATACCCACAAGAAGTCAAAAATGAGTACCAGGAAGGCATACAAACTAAAACTGTTGAAGGATAGACCAGAGACGCTCTTTGCTGACCTGTACAAGAGTGGAGAAGTCAGCAATCTGATCTTCCTCACAGACCAGCCATTAGCATGGCACGCCGCCATAAGTGCCCACTACCCTTCTGTGAAGAAAGAGGGGATCTGCAATGGCTGGAAACTCAAAATTAAAGAGGTAGAAGACCCAGACACTGTCATGACAACAGTCAACATATATAAGAACGGGACTGTCATGGTGCAGGGGAACCTCACACAATTTGGGCTGGACTTTCTCCTTATAAAGGAACGGGCCCAACAGGAGAAATCTGCCCCCACTGAGAACAACCACACCCTGCCAGAGACGGACACAACCCCCACTTCTGGCTGCCCCACTGCTGACCCTGAGGAGGGAGAACCTGCCGGCCCAGAACAGGCCCAGGACCCCCAGCTGAACCACACCATCACTGACCTGAAGGTGAAGTTCACAGAGTTGGAGAGAGAGCTCGTACAGTTGCGAGAGCTGATCAGCCAACAGCCAACCCAGGACACCACGGTCCAGGGGGACTCGTCTGCCATCAGCACAGAGCTCACCAAGCTGAGGCAGGACAGAGACAGCCACAGGAGAGAGCTGTCCACCGTGAGGACTGAGGTGCGAGAGCTGCAGCAGGACAGAGAGAGTCACATGGCACGGCTGGCCGCTCTGACAGAGGAGGTGAGGGAGCTGAGAGAGGAGGGACAGAGCTACAGGAGAGAACTGGCTACTCTATCTGAGGAGCTTCAGGAGACAGAGAGAGTTGCACAGGCCCTGAAAGAGCAGCTGGACTCACACCCAGACCACAACCAGAACCCTGTGACCCCCATTGAGAGCAGCCAGAACCCTCCAACTCAGCAGCCACCTTCTACCCCCAGCTCCATCTCTAGCCCACAGGCTAACCCAACTCCCAGATCTCCCCCATCACACAGATGAACACCACCCGTAGCCCACAGACTAACACCACCCCTCATCCTTCCAGACCAGCACAGCAGAGAGGGAAGCCAGACATTGTCATCCTCATCGACTCCAATGAAAAATTCATTGATGAAAAGAAACTTTTCCCCACCCACACAGTGGCTAAAATCTGGTGTCCAAACACCCAACATGCCATGGACCTGCTGTCAGAGGAGCAGCTGGGATCCCCAAGCCACATCATCATCCACACTGGCTCCAACGACCTGAGCAGCCAGCAAGAGAGAGTGTCAGAGGCACTCAGAGGAGTGATAGAGAAAGCCTCCACCACCTTCCCCAACAGCACGAGTGGTCATGTCAACCCTGCTACCAAGGAAAGACCTCCACCCCGACACCATCCACAGGATCAACAGCAACATGTCCAGAGACTGTATCCTGAGGCTCAACGTCCACCTGGCCCACCACCCTACCCTGAATATCAACTGTCTATACGACCAAGTCCATCTGTATAAAAACACAGTCCCCATCTTTGCCCGGACACTGACAGACGTCGCTCTCAATAGAGACCAATCCACACCCCGTAGAAGGAGCAGCCCGGCCCAAAAACCCCTTAGACCAGAAAGGCACCCCACTGGACCACCACCCAGACAACACCCATGGAGTCAAGATCATCCTCATCTTCTTCCACACCATGCCCCACTAAGATCCCACCAGGGCAACTATGATTACCCTCAAGCAAGGCCAGAACCACTCCTGTCCCCAGGGGTCCTACCCCAACCACAGCGACGGAAGCTACACCCTGACCCACTGAGTTATGCTCAGGCAGTGAAGAGAACAGCAGGCCCAACCCTTACCACCACCACCCATGTCCCTGAACCCACCCACACGACGAGCTGAGAGACATCCAGCAGATGCTCAGCCTGCTCTGCTCCCACCTGATAGGTCAGGTACCACGGTAGACAATCAGTAGTCATTGTTTGTTTTCTTGCTTGTATACAGTAGACACAAAAAAAAAAAAAACTGTTCTGTAATTGTTAAATCTATCGTATATTGAAATCCCATATATCTAATGTGTTCTTAAATCAACCTATTTATTGACAACCAGCGATTTGGGAGTTTATCTCATTTTAATGTTGAATGCTCTGAATCTTTCTCTGTTTTTAGATCATTTATTATTTCATGTTGGAATGTCCAGGGTCTGAGGTCCTCTGCTTTTGGCCTTAAGAGCAGGACCCCAGACTTCACCAAAGAGTTAGGAGATGCAGATGTGATGGTTTTACAGGAGACCTGGAGTAGAGGAGACATGTCCACTGGTTGTCCCTTAGGCCAGGGGTGGGGAACCTTTTTCTTCTCAAGGGCCATTTCAATTTTTCAACATCCTCCGAGGGCCGTACGAATGATTGACCTCTGCTTAAAAAAACTAAAATCACAGCCCATTCATTTTGCCTTTCTTTCATGCAAAGAAAAAGCAACCTCTTAATCCAGATATCTCACCATGACTCGCGCATGCATGCACGTGCACGGTTGTGGCATGACCATCAAAACAGAAAGATATGGACCCAAGATGTGTGTGGGGGGGGGGGGGTCTAACCGACTCTAGGGGGGTCCGGGAGATTTTTATTTTTTTTTATGTTGAAGTTAAAAGCATCTATCTGTTGCACTTTGAGAGCAACATGAAGAGATCTATGGATACATCTCTCAACACCCAGATGAAACAGAACTGTAAGAACTGTTTTTCTTTATGGATTTTTTACAAATCACTCCCCTTTCAAACTCTATCCTTGTTTATTAATAACAACTTTTTTTTACTGTCATATAGTATTTTATACCTGTTTACTTTATTCTCTTGTTTTTTTACAACTATAATGATCATATAAAGATGTGCCTTTACCTCACTGGTTGGAGAAAAAGCTTATTATATTCGTTAGCATAGCTAGCTAACCAGATGCTAATAACAACACAGTTATTGATTGTATGAACGGTATGACAGATGAACAGATCGCCACTGGGCTTTCAGCTAAAGACACAGACAGGCAAACACTGCGGCATGTGTACGGCTCCTTATCTGAAGTGCCGGAGCCGCGTTCTGGTGCTCTCCGTCAGAACTACACCCCAGTCAGACGAGACATACACGTTAGACTCGTGTTGTGTTCATGGACCCTGACCTTGGCCAGGAAAAACAGGCACTCGCTTGTTTAATTATTTTGCGGTCTAGATTTCTTTAATTATTTTCTTTTTTGCGTGTGTTTATAAATTACCTCGAGGGCCGTACCAAATGGTCTCGCGGGCCGTATACGGCCCGGAGGCCGGAGGTTCCCCACCCCTGCCTTAGGCTATAGAGAGATAGTGTTCCCATCCACCAAACTCAAAGGAGTGACCCAGGGCAGGGATTCAGGAGGAATGCTGATTTGGTACAAGGAAAAACTTGTACACTCAATAGAACTCGAATTTTCAATTTGACTCAAAATAAAAAGAGAGGTGGTCGCCATGGATAAAGACATTTTCATGTGTACAGCATATATCCCCCCATCAGAATCACCTTATTATAGTGAGAATAGTTTCTCCATTCTTGAAGATGAGATCAAACAATACCAGGCCCAGGGAAGTGTACTGATCTGTGGGGACCTTAATGCCAGGACAGGTATAGAACCAGATTATATTAGCCCACAGGGAGACAAACATATACCTGGCCAAATCAGCATTCCCCTCCCTTCACATCCCCACAGGAACAACTTTGACAAAACTGTCAACAAAAGCGGGCAGCAACTACTGCAGCTGTGCCGAACGCAGGGCCTGTACATTGTTAACGGTCGGCTTCGAGGGGACTCCTTTGGTCACTACACACACAGCTCTCCTCTTGGCAATAGCTCAGTAGATTATAGCATCACAGACCTCGACCCCTTCTGTCTGAGGGCATTCACAGTCAGCCCCCTAACACCCTTATCTGATCATAGTAAAATTACACTCTACATTAAGAAGACAGTAACAGACTCTCACGCAGCAGAACCCAGTAAACTGAACTATACCAAACAACCTTATAGATGGACAAACAATAGCAAGGACGAGTACCAGAAAGCAATCAGACATCAAACAATTCAATCCCAATTAGACCATTTTCTATCCACCCCATATCCCCACAGTAATGATGGCCTGAATCAGGCTGTGTGGGATATTAACAGCATCTTTGACAATGTGGCAGATTTATCCAATCTGAAAAAACCACAATATCATAAATCAAAAAAGTCAACCAATGAAAAGTGGTTTGATACAGACTGCAGACATCTGAGAAAAACCCTCAGAAGTTTATCAAATCAAAAACACAGACAACCTGACAATCCTGAGCTCCGCCTCCAATATTGGGAAACACTGAAACTATACAGAAGAACACTCAGAACTAAAAGGGAGCAACATGTGCAGCACCAACTTGAAATCATTGAAGAGTCCATTGATTCAAATCATTTCTGGAAGAAATGGCACTCTTTCAGAAAACCACACAAGGAAGAACTGGCTATTCAAAATGGGGACATTTGGAAAACACACTTTGAAAACCTGTATAGTACCGTTACACTGAATTCGGCCCAAAATGATCTCCTCAACAAACTACAAATTCTAGAATCAGTCGTTAAAGACAACCAGAACCCTTTAGACTATAACATTACTGAGGAAGAGCTCCTGGCTAAACTCCAGGCCCTCCAACCAAGGAAGGCCAGCGGTCCTGATGGCATTTTAAATGAAATGCTGAAATTTAGCAGCCATAGTTTCAACACTGCCATGTTGAAACTATTCAACCTCGTTCTGGGCATTGGACATTTCCCTGACATCTGGAGCAAAGGAATCATCACACCAATATTTAAAAATGGAAATAAATTTGACCCAAACAATTACCGAGGCATATGTGTCAGCAGCACAACCTGGGGAAGTTATTCTGCAGCATCCTAAACAGCCGACTGCAAGACTTCCTCAGTGAACATATGGCGCGTTTCCACTGCAGCGGGTAGCCCCGTTTAAGCGTCCTTAACCGTCCTCAAGCGGCCAGGCCGGTT